ACTGAGCCATCTCTCCAGCCCCTTGAATTTTTTTTTTTGAGCAACTAATGACTTCAATGTTGTTATGAACATTTATATAAGCATTGTACTTTTATTTGTACTTATTTACTTACTATAGCCATTACTTTACATGATTCATGAGAGATATGTATGACACACAGGAAGGAAACAAAATTTGTTTCACAGGAAACAAATCAATAATACCAGGCATTCAGTAAGAGGATAAATGTCTATTGTAAACCTTGGTATCCCAGGATTTTCATCTTCATTTTACAAAAAGAATGCAAATGTTTTTATGCCATTAAAACTTTTGATGGATGAGACTTTTAAAAATGATTATTTTATTGGCCTTTTTTGTTATCTTCTCCCTCTTAGACCATCTAAACTCCAACCTGTAAACTTAGCTCACCTTGAGAGTCACATCTTCTCTACAGTGTATCTTGCTACTCAGTCATGTTCTCTTCCTATTTACTCCTTACCTTTGGGAAGAAATAATTGCTTTAATAAATAAAAGGAATAAAATATACTTATTTATTTGTGGTACTGAGGATCTAAAAGCCCAAAAATGGCTTTTTGGTTTTTTCCTAAAATGGTGTTTTAATAGGTAACTTTATAGTATCTTCCCAAGATTTAAGTCTTTTTTTACTCAAAGTAATCTTCAATCATAAATTGCTCCACAGGTCTTCTGGAATGTTTTAAAACAGAAGATAGCATTTTACTTATCATGCAACCATTACCAGAAGGCCAGTTTAGGCTTTGTGTTATTCAATCAATACGTCTTACAGCATGGCTGATCATGTTTCTCAGTCGGAAGTCTGTCTCTTCTCTAAAACCTGCCCAACTTCCAGTGTATCAAAGGAAACCCTTTATAGCTGCTTGGAATACTCCAACAGATCAGTGTTGGTCAAAATATAAGTTACGGCTAAATTTGAAAATGTTTCAGGTGACTGGAAGCACACTGACCAAGGCCAGGGGGCAAAATGTCACCATATTTTATCCTAGGAGACTGGGATATTATCCTTGGTATACATCACAGGGGGTCCCCATTAATGGGGGTCTCCCTCAGAATATAAGCTTGAAAGAGCATCTGAATAAAGCAGCTCAAGACATTCAGTATTACATACCTGCTAAAGATTTCAGTGGACTTGCTGTTATAGACTGGGAATATTGGCGTCCACAGTGGGATCGGAACTGGAATGCCAAAGATGTTTACAGACGGAAGTCAAAAGAGTTTATTTCTGAGTTGCAACAGAACATAAAAGCTTCTGATATTGACTATTTAGCCAAAGCAACCTTTGAAGAAAGTGCAAAGGCATTCATGATGGAAACCATCAAACTGGGAATTAGGAGGCGGCCCAAAGGCCTTTGGGGTTATTATTTATATCCTGACTGCCACAATTATAATATGGGTGATCCAAACTATACAGGTTCATGTCCAGAAGAGGCAGTTTTGAAGAATAATGAGCTTTCCTGGCTCTGGAATAGTAGTGCTGCTTTGTATCCTTCAATTGCCATCAAGAAAGCCTTCAGAAACAGCAAGAATATTTTGCACTTCTCAAAATTCCGGGTGCATGAAGCCATTCGGATCTCCACCCTGACGTGCCATGAATCTGCTCTGCCTGTGTTTGTCTACACAAGGCTTGGGTATAGGGAGGACCCTTTATGTTTTCTTTCTCAGGTAACAAGCCTCTTGCCAAATGATGGGCATTTTCTCTCTATCTCTAAAAGAGCTATTTCTTTACTAGTTACACTCCATGAAGAATATCTGATCAACGGGCTGTTAGAGCATAATCTCTCCTCCTTGACTATTAATTTATTTATGAAAATTGAATTTTATTATCTTATTATTATAATTCATAATAAAGCAATAAGGGTTTAAAGTATGATACAAGAAACTACTATATTTTCTGTCCCCTGGCTTTGATTGTATTCTCTTACGATTGGCCCATTAGCTGCTGTAGAAGGCTACTAGCATGGTTTGTGCTGGACAGGTCGTCTCTCACAAATACTATGATGAGATGGATGAGGCAAAATAAATGTTAAAATTTTTCCTTTTATTTTATGCAAAATCACTACTTTCTAAAATATAACATAAAAATACAACCTTAAAGTAAAAGGTGGACTAACTAATCAAGAGAGGGAAAGGAGAAGAGCTAGGAAACATGACAATGTCAAGCCATACAGTTATATGTAAAAGATGAGCAAGGCAATGATCC